AATCCACGTTTGTTGTGCAAAGGGTCCTTGGAAAATATTCTTTAAAAAATCCACGTTTCTTCAACTGATGGTCCTTGAAAAAAGATTATATAAAAAATCCAATTTTTTTTAGCTGATGGTCCTTCAAAAAGGATTCGTTAAAAAATCCATTTTTTTTTTAGCTGATGGTCCTTCAAAAAGGATTCGTTAAGAAATCCACGTTTGTTGTGCAAAGGGTCCTTGGAAAATATTCTTTAAAAAATCCAAGTTTGTTGTGCAAAGGGACCTTGGAAAATATTCTTTAAAAAATCCAAGTTTGTTGTGCAAAGGATCCTTGGAAAATATTCTTTAAAAAATCTACGTTTCTTCAACTGATGGTCCTTCAAAAAAAATTCTTTAAAAAATCCACGTTTCTTTAACTGATAATCCTTGAAAAAAGATTCTATAAAAATTCACGTTTTTCAAGAAAGATTCTTTGTGGATTTTTACATTTCTTCACTTGAAAAGTAATCTTAATTACTCTTTTGAAGTTAATTCGTAATGGTATTAACCCCTGTTCATGCTACTCTTTCGATAGGAGTTAAAAAGTATTTATTGATTTTTCTTTAAGGACAAAGCCTTTAAGATGCCACCCTTAAAGGACAACCTCATTACTGAATGGGTGATTATTTTTAGGCAACCCACATTTTCACCCTCCCTACATTTAATTACCCACAACTAATAGCCTTACATCATTTCAAAAATGTGTGATCAAATATTTGGCCAACAAATAGGAAACCTTGTTTCCCCTGATTAAAAGAAAGAGCTATAAAGCCGTCAAAAGTCATGTTTACATGATCACCAAAACACAGAGTGTGAAAAGTTTTTTGAGCCACCCCACTTTGCAACACTTCAACCCCCTTCCCTATCCAACCATAAATTGGTCACAACATAAGAAATGTCTTTAAGAAATCCTTTTGTTTCTTATGATATGAGGTGTTAAAAAGGATATTGAGGAACTGTTGCACATAAAGACAAATTGCAGTGAAAGGATTTGTTGGGGGAATCCTTGTGCAATTTTGTGATCAAATGTAAGTGACCAGCATTTGTAAGGAGTTAAGGAGGTTTTTGGGATATGTTTGTTTTACAAGGATCAAAGACAGATATAATAAGGAATGTCAGTTATTAAGAGGGTACGTTGAAGAGGACACCCTTGAGGTTCCCAATAATATAAAGAGCAACAAGTGTTTTTTTAAAGGATAATAAATTTTGATTTTGTTAAATAATTTTGAAGGTTTATTTAATAATTTAACTATTTTAAATCTGGAATTTTATAATTTTGGCTCCTTAAATGTGGATTTTTTAGATATTTTTGGAAGGAACCAGATGGCTCGTTATAGTGGAATTTTTAAATATATTTTATTAAGGATCTAGGTGGCTCCATTAGCATGGATTTTTTAAATATTTTTGGCAGGAAGGCTCCATAAACGTTGATTTTGTAAAGATTTTTGGGATCATAAAAATGGCTTTTAACGTGTTGCTATATAAACTTGGACTTTATAAATATTTTTGAGATGATCCGGAAGACTCTTTAAACGCAGTTTTTTTATATAATATGAAAGGTCCTTAATCGAGGAATTTTTAAATATTTTTTTAAATACCATAAACGTAGATTTTTCAAATATTTTTGAAAAGATCGTGAAAGCTCGATAATCGTTGATTTTTATAATAATTTTGGGAGGATCTCGAAAGCTCCACAAGCGTGGATTTTTTAAAATAATTTTGTAAGGATCCATAAGGCTCTACAAATGTGGATTCTTTTAAATATTTTTGGAAGGATTCAAAAAGCTCACAAACGTGGATTTTTTCAATATAAACCTAGATTTTTTTAAAGTATTTTTGGGGAGATTCCCTAGGCTCCATAAACGTGGATTTTTAAATATTTTTTTTTTTTTTTGAGATAAAAAAGATTCCATAAACATGGATTTTTAAATATTTTTTTGGAGATAAAAAAAATTCCATAAACGTCGATTTTTAAATATTTTTTTATAGAAGGCTCCATAACCGTGGCTTTTTAATATATTTTTGGAGATACCGAAAGCCCCATAAACGTGGATTTTTAAATATTTTGTTGGAGATATAGAAGGCTCCATAACCGTGGATTTTTAATATATTTTTGGAGATACCGAAAGCCCCATAAACGTGGATTTTTAAATATTTTGTTGGAGATATAGAAGGCTCCATAACCGTGGATTTTTAATATAATTTTGGAGATACCGAAAGCCCCATTAACGTGGATTTTTAAATATTTTGTTGGAGATACAGAAAGCTCCATAAAGGTGGATTTTTTAAAGGATAATCTAACGTGGATTTTTAAATACTTTGTTGGAGATACAGAAAGCTCCATAAAGGTGGATTTTTTAAAGGATAATCTAACGTGGATTTTTAAATATTTTGTTGGAGATACAGAAAGCTCCATAAAGGTGGATTTTTTAAAGGATAATCTAACGTGGATTTTTAAATACTTTGTTGGAGATACAGAAAGCTCCATAAAGGTGGATTTTTTAAAGGATAATCTAACGTGGATTTTTAAATATTTTGTTGGAGATACAGAAAGCTCCATAAAGGTGGATTTTTTAAAGGATAATCTAACGTGGATTTTTAAATATTGTGGTTTCGTGGATTTCTTTAATAATTTTTTGAGGGTCAATAGCTTCTATAGATAAGATTTTTAAAATAGTTTTTGGACCTCCAAAAATATGATTTTTTTTAATATTTTTGGAATGATCCAAAATGCTCTATACGTGTTGATTTATTAAATATTTGTAGAGGAATCCTGAAAGCTCCATAGACCTGAAATTTTTAAAATAGTTTTTGAAGATCCGGAAATTTTCATAAGCGTGATTATTTTCTTTTTGGATTTTTTTTTATATTTTTGTAGGATCCAGTTATAAATAAACTTAGATGTTTTTCTAAGATTTTTGGGAGCATCGAAAAAGCTTTTTTAAATGATTTTTTTTTAATTTTTCATATAAGACCGAAATTTGTAATTCAAGCTAGAATCAAGTGGGATAAATTAAAGTCGAAAAATATTGATGTTCGTCATATTCCATATTTCCCTATTATTGATACTATCATTTATAAATATCGACTTGTTCTTTCAATAAAAGCATGGTCTTGAAGGGTCGATTTTCAGTGAAAGAAAATCATTTGGCACTTTTGCCATGAAATGCCCCAAATACTTCTGATTTTCTTCAATGCTAATTTTCCCCATATTTCTTGTTATATTTTCTTTTCTCTTCCATTTCGTATTTCTCGTTTTCTTCATTTTTTCCAATTTCATCTTCTCATTTTTTCATTTTCTTGTGATGTTTCCTCTTCTCAACATTTTCAAGGGGGATGTTATTGGGGAAAAACTTTGGCATGTTTTGGTTAATTACCATTCTGTTTTGCTTAGCATATTCTTAACAAAGCGTGGCAAAAGAAAAACCAACAATAGCTACATTTGAGAAAAATTCTCCCCAATTCATACTTTTTTCTTTCATATTAAAGTTTCTGGTATTGATTAAAGCCAAACATGCGGACATACACACACGACGTATTTAGTATTTAAATCCTTTTCTCCCCATTTTCCAAGTGTTGATTTAACATGTCGAGATGAGGGTGGATTTTGCATTTCCACTGACCAATTATTGATTATGGCCGACTGGGCTGCTGCTGCTGATGTGCGTGTGCAGAATTGATGTGGATGAATGTGAATGCCCCCTGCTGTTTCGTATTTATTTATGTTTATTGCTATTTTTGGAAATTCGAAACATGAAAAACGCAAAAAATTTGCCATTTAAATTTTCAAAAGAAATGTGAGAGCCAAACAACCATTTCTCCCCCTCAGGTCGAGCCAAATGTCCAAATAAGTTGGTGGTTAACGATTAATTGCCATATCTACAATATATGTATATATGTGTGCCTTTAAGCATGTGTGTGTGAGACATTGTAACGAATTGAAAATGAAAATAAGAAGAAGAAATTAAAAACCTGAAAAAAGGTCAAACATTTTTGAAAAATTTTATAAATAGTATTACAAATCCATAAAAGAGCATCTGTGACCTTTTGCTGGGCAGCAAGCCGCCAGCCTCGCTTGCTCTGCCGTGTAGAGGGTGTAGGTGTGAATGTTTGCTGCTGTTGTTGTTGCTGTGGTAGAACATTAACAAATATAACGCGTGCCTAGCTCGTGTTGCATCACAACTCCATATCCACCCATTTTCTGATGTGCTCCGACGTGTGTGGATCAGTTGTGGAAAGGGGGGAAGAAAATTTATTTCCAGTTGCAAGGGTAGTTTTTTCCCGTCTACCCTATTAACCACTTAATTTATATGACATTTGAATGCTGTTAAACGGTCGATGTGTGTGTGTTGAAGATTTGTTTTCTTCGATTTTCCATTTCATATATGGCCAGATGTCCGAGGTTGCCTTATGTAGGAGTTTACCCGCTCAAGTGTTACTAATTTCAAGACGGAGAATTTTCTTGCCCCGACGGCATTTGCTCAATTTACATAATTTTGAAATAAAATTGTTAACATATGGTGTTCGTTGGTGAGCTGAGGTTAAAGAAGGAAAATAAATATCCTTAAGAGGAGAAAGGATTGGCTATGGTTTTCAAGCACAAATTTATTGGGCATTTGGTTAATGTCATCAGTGGAGGAGGTATTTTGATTTATGGCTTAATTGGGAGCAGAAAGGGATACATATTTTTGAAAAATAATTTTAAATAACCTGGAGAAAATATTTCGGAATTAAAAAAAAAAAATATTTCCCAATTTGGACGTTTAACAATTGTTTAGAAAGAAAATTGAGTTTTTTTGGCAGAGATGGCCGAAGAAAAAGGCAAACTTTACTTCGTCCACAGCCCTTGAGTTCTTCAATCCAAATTTCCGTTTTTTTCTGGGTTCACTTTATATTTATTTGATTCCGATATTGAATTTAATTTTAAATTTTTTAATAAAACGATATTTATATATTTTTATTTCATTGTATATTTACAGATATCACACGTTTGTCCCGATCACCCTCGCCCATGCAATCCAATGGTAAGTAACAAAGGATAAAAAATATAAAATCTTAAAAATTCTAAAATTAAAGCCGAAAATTTTTGAAACTCGCGATAAGATCTAGGATAAAAAGTGTCCACAAAGATTTAAAATTTTTTCGTTTTTTTTTTCTTGATTTTGTGATCATTGAGTTCTGAAATAATAACTTAAGGAGCCCAAAGATCAAGAGAAAAAAATCTTTTTTTTTTTTCAATATTTGTAGAGACTTTTTATTTGAGAACTTATTGCGAATTTCTTCAATTTTCAATATTTATACCTTCCGATATATGGCTACAGAGGGTATATATTATTTAATACGGCAAAAACGTGCCTTATCGAAATTACGGTTTTAGACCCTAGTTTTCTTTGGAACAAATCTGTTTCAGGGCTTTTAAAGTCAATCTAAGGGTGTCCGAACGTCTGCGTGTCTGGCAGGTGGCCAGGATAACACTAGAAGGGAGCATCCGATATTACCCAAACGTGATACATCGTAATATTACCAACAGTATTACAACTTAGATCGAGTGGGGAGATGGGCAATATCAGTTCACTGATTCTGGTACCTCTCCTCACAAAAGGACTAATTTTTCACAAAATATAATTTACCTTAAAGACAAGAAAGGATCATACAACTTTGCAAATCACAATATTCTTATCAGTGCTATGTTAGGTGTGAAGATGGACAATATAAGTCCACTCCATCATGAATTTTCCTCCCAAAGGGTCAAATAATTATAACTCTCATAAAATGCCAAATAAGCATCCGATTCTTCTCAAATTTTGCATATTTAAATATTTTTACTAAAGCAAGATCTGGTGTAAAGATGGTATACATAGATCCACTCCTTTGGATACCTCTACCACAAACCGGATCAAAATTTTGAAATTACCATGCAGGTCATACAATGCGAAATATGCACCCGATTATTTTCAAACTCGGTATACTCCAATATTTTATCAACACAAGATTAGGTGTGAAAGTGGGATAAATCGGACCACTCATTCAGGTACCTCCCCCACAGAGGGTCAAAATCTTGAACATACACGAAGATCTAAAAACTCGAAATTAACATCCGATTCCACTCGGACTTGGTATATCTCAATATTTCCATCAAAACAAGATATGTTATAAAGATGTTAGAGATCGGAGCATTCCTTCTGGTACCTCCCACACAAAGGGTTAACGTTTTGAATAACCAAAACGATTATAAAATCCCAAAATAAGCATCCGGTTCTTTTCATATTTCGCACATCTCATTATTTCTACTAACATAAGATCTGCTTTGAAGATGGGATATATCGGTCCACTCCTTCTGGTACCTCCCCCACAAAGGGTAACAATTTTGAATATCCATGAAGCTCATAAAACGGGAGGTTACCATCCGATTCCATTCAGGCTTGGCTCATCTCAATATTTCTGTCAACACAAGATCCCTTATAAAGAGGGTAGGGATCGGACCATTCCTTCTCGTACCTCCCCAACAAAGCGTCAAAATTTTGAATAACCAAAACGATCATTAAATCCGAAATAAGCATCCGGTTCTCTTCATATTTCGCACATCCCATTACTTCTACTAATACAAGATCTCCTGAGAAGATGGGACATAAAAAAATTTTGCTCAAATGTATATTATGTCTGCATGGCTTTGGTATTGAAAATGGGTCATGTAGGTCCACGCCTTCGTATAGCCCTCATATAACGTTATCTCCCGATATTCGGTATTTTGATGATTTTAGGAACATTGTTCACCGGAATTGTTTCAAATTCGATACCTGAAGTTCGTAATGGATACTACAGACTAAGACAGAAAATTGTCTATGCAGGTCCACGCCTTCGAATAGCCCTCATATAACGGTATATCCCGATATTCGGTATTTTGATGATTTTAGCAACATTATACACCGGAAATGTTTTAAATTTCGCGTTTGAAATTCTTAGTGAATACTTCAGCCTAAGACAGAAAATTGTCTGTGCAGGTCCACGCCTTCGTATAGCCCTCATATAACGGTATCTCCCAATATTCGGTATTTTGATGAGTTTAGCAACATTATTCACCGGAATTGTTTCAAATTTAGTAATTGAAGTTCGTAATGAATACTACAGCCTAAGACAGAAAATTGTCTGTGCAGGTCCACGTCTTCGTAGAGCCCCCATACATAAGTACCTCCCGATATTCGGTATTTTGATGATTCTAGCGACATTATTCACCGGAATTATTGCAAATTTGGTACTTGAAGTTCGTAATGGATACAAGAGCCTAAGACAGAATATTGTCCGTGCAGGTCCACGTCTGCGTATAGCCCCCATATAACGATACCTCCCGATATTCCGTATTTTGATTATTTTAGCAACATTATTCACCGGAATTGTTTCAAATTTGGTAATTGAGGCTCGTAATGGATACTACAGCCTAAGATAGAAAATTGTCTCTGCAGGTCCACGCCTTCGTATAGCCCCCATATAGTGATACCTCCCGATATTCGGCATTTTGACGATTTTAGCTACATTTTTCACCGATTTTTGGCATTTGAATATTGTAAAGGCTTATTACAAAAGTTACCTATGCAGGTCCACGTCGTCGTTTTAATATGGCTACATTCGGTATTTTTAAGATTTGAAACAGAATTTTAAACGGATTTTATTATTATTTTTTTCAAAACTGTTAAATTCGTTCCAAATGGTGGAGGGAATTCAAAGTTCGGTCCGGCCAAATTTACAGCTTTTTTACTTGTTTTTTTATACTCAGAAACTTCAATGGGGTCCTTTATAATTTTTTAAGGCTATTGCTTTTTATCTTTTAATTTTTCAAGGATTTTTTCGATCCACTTATATTTGAATTTGTCTGAAAATAATCTCACCAAATAACCTTTAATTTCAAGCCTCTGTTGGCTAGTAATAAATCTACGTTTCAACATTGTATACTGTATTTTTAAGTATTTTTGTTGTTGGTCGTCGTCTGAAAAAGGACTGCTTTAAATCCATGTATTGAAAAGTTAATAGTTTTCAAAATATCCACGTGCGTCTGTCTGTTGTTGTCTACCAATCTTACCAAACAAACCAATCAAACAGCTAACCAACCAACAATTCTTTTATCTTTTCATCTATCGATTCATTCATCTCAACCAATAACGATCGAACTATTAAAGAGGATTCCACGCAGTGCCAACATTTTTCTATAAAACATCTGCTCTTCTTCTAATTTGATGTTAAAACCGAAATGAATCAATTTCAGTTTTGGAAAAAAAAAGTGTTACACACCATAAATCGAAATTCGGCTGTTGGTTATTATTTCGAGAGAAAAGGAAGATGAGACAAAAATGACAATATTTACAATTGTTACCCCCCTCTCACAAATGGTAGGGGATTATGATTCAACCCTTCTTTGGTAGGCTGGCAGTCAAATCAAAAAAAGTTGTATAACAAACTATGGCTTGACAAAAGGCTGCTAGACGTGTGCCAAGCCAACAAACCCTTGTCAACATTAGTTGGAGTTGTGTCTCTTTTGTTTGGAAAATCTTTAATGGCAGTTTTAAGTAGTTTTAAAGTGTTGGGTTTCTTAAGAGCCATTCGAGTGGGGACATAAATAAGGTTGTTAAATTTCATTAAAGAGGCTTTACTTTTTTTCCTATCCTTAGAGGAGACCCCAGCTAGGGGTTCGAAACAGTTTTTTTTTTTTTTTGTTTTGTTCGTTCATCCACTCTCATTTTCATGTATCTTCCTTTACTTACTTAACGATAACATCTTCTTAATATTCATAAGGTCATTTGCACCTCATTTCGTGACGCCTCTCCTACCACCACCACATCCTGCTCCAACAGGACGTTTTCCCTGCTCGTAGCCTATTTAATATTCTTAGAATTCTCTTGGAGAGTGTTTTTGATATGGTTTTGTTGATTTTCATTTGTTTTGGTCAGTCAAGAATATTCATTCTTATTATATATATAAAACTGTGATTTTTATGTTTATCACTCTGACTACCCAAAATTCCTTTTTTGCTACACCCTGCCGGCCAGCCCTGACTTCCCTCAATAATATTGAAAATGAAAATTTACATATATTTTATGCAAAAATTATACATGACCAAAACCCAGAGCAAAATAAAAAAAACCCTTGGAAGTATGTGACCACCAACCAACCTAGGTTCGGTATGACTGGACCTGGTTATGGTCTACTGCTTAGATTTGTTTATCCCTTTTCTGTTCATCCTCCCCCTCAACAGATGAATATGAAATGGTCATACATGAGAAAAATGTAAAATTCATATGTATAAAAGGCAGAACAACTGATGCCTGGTCAATAAGTATGATAATAATGTTGTGTGCATGTGTAGAATGGTTGGCTGGAAGGAACGAGAGGGAAGGGGGAGTCAAGGGGTGGGAATGTAGATTTAGAAAAAATGACCAAGGAAAATAAAGCAGGGTCGAATGATAAAGAAAGGAGGATATTTTTTATAAAAAATGAGGACGAAAAAATCCCCCTCAATTTTTTGAAATCTCCTCAAAAAACTTGAAGTCGATTTTCTATAGAAAATCTCCTGAATACAAATTGAAGAGGATTTTCTATGAAAATTTCCTCAAAAAAATTTAGGGGGATTTCCTATAGAAAATCTCCTCAAAGGATGAGGATGAAATTTTCTATAGAAAATCTCCTCAAACGATGAGGATTAAATTTTCTATAGAAAATCTCCTCAAACGATGAGGATGAAATTTTCTATAGAAAATCTCCTCAAACGGTTGAGGATGAAATTTTCTATAGAAAATCTCCTCAAACGGTTGAGGATGAAATTTTCTATAGAAAATCTCCTCAAACGGTTGAGGATGAAATTTTCTATAGAAAATCTCCTCGAACGGTTGAGGATGAAATTTTCTATAGAAAATCTCCTCAAACGATGAGGATGAAATTTTCTATAGAAAATCTCCTCAAAAATTGAGGCGGATTTTCTATAGAAAATTTGCTCAAAATACTTGAGGTGAGGATGAAATTTTCTATAGAAAATCTCCTCAAACGGTTGAGGATGAAATTTTCTATAGAAAATCTCTCAAACTTTGAGGAGGAAATTTTCTATAGATAATCAACTCTTTAGAAAATCTCCTGAAAGGTTGAGGATGAAATTTTCTATAGAAAATCTCCTGCAAGGTTGAGGATGAAATTTTCTATAGAAAATCTCCAAAAGGTTGAGGATGAAATTTTCTATAGAAATTTGAGGGAATTTCGCTTACCGAGCAAATTTTCTATAGAAAATCTCAGCTCGCCTCGACGAGCAAATGTTCTGCAGAAAATCTTAGCTCGCCTCGACGAGCAAATTTCCTGTGGAAAATTTTCTATGGAAAATCGACTTTGCTGTCGGGCATCCCAATAAATTGTTGCCCCCTTTCTTTGCCTACCCATGGAACGTCTCTGCCTTTTGCCAATCGTTTCTTTTTTCCATGATTTTTTTTTTTTTTTGGTCACTTATTGGGTTTTAAAATTTTACTACACCACATGGCCATCTGAAATGTTCGGAAAAAAAAACAAAATTTGCACATCATCTGAATAACAAATATTGCACGTACCACACGTAGAATTTTTATATACATTCGGAAAAATAGCACTTGAATGAACCTTTTGAAAAAAAAACGAAGAAAAAAACCTAAAAACCATTTCCATAAACCATAGACCAGATATGGACATTTGAGAAGAAGTCATCAAAATTGATGTTTCTATACAAGCAACATATGCAAAAAGGCGCACCCAATGATGCATACAATTATGGACAAGGACTAAAAGTTAACTGGCCGGCATTTTCGGTGAGGGGGTGAGGGAAAGGAAAGAGTTTAATAAACTTGAAGGAATCGAATCGAATGAAAATAAACATGAATAGTAAATTTCACACAAAAATTATGATGAATGAATGTGTGGAGAGAGGGTGGAGGAGGGGTTGGAAAGGGCGTAGAATGAAAGTGAAATTTATTTTTCAGTTTTTTTTTTTCTGCTTCTTATGTTTGAAGGCCACTGCGGCAAAGCCAATAACCCTGAGAATGTCCCTTTTTTCCTTTTTGGCCAAAAAACGAGGGTGGAATTTTAAATATTCAAATATTGGCATAACATTGTGGCATTTTGCAGATTATTTTCCCGTGTGCAAATGTCAAATCAATTGTATGGCAAATTTATACAAATCGAAACATAACACACACACTCAGGCACCCACACCCACACACAGGCAGAACCAACAAATAAACTGAAAAAAATTTGCAATTCTAAAATGTTAGTTTATTTCCCACATGAAAAGAAAACATGAAAATTCGCTTAAAAGGGTCCAGCAGCAAATGGACTTCAGAATTCCTCTCCACCCCACCCCTTATTGTTTACTTGAGTTCCACTGAAGCTTGAAATTGACCAAGAAAACGTTTGATGGCAAATGCCAAATATATGCAAACTTTCTCCATTAGCTTTTGTTATGCAGAAAATTAACATAAATTCTGGAAGGAGTAAGGAGAGTGAGGGTTGGGGGAGTGTAGAAAATGAAACACAAACACACGTGTCTGTTTGGGAAAACTCCTTCTTAAGAAACCTTTTCTATTGATTACCTCTTTTTAATGTAAATTTCCATTTTTGTTTTTCCTTTCAGGCTCCGATTGTGATGACAATAACTCGAGTGCTGGCAACTCAAGTGACCGCTGTCGTTCGCCGGAAAGTCCATCACTGGATCTGTCGCGCCCTCCCATAAAAAGGCGTCAGTGGTCGCCCTTATATTCATATGCTTTACATGGCCTAAATACCCAGCATCCTCATCACCCTCATCATCATATGCATCACTCACCGCCTCTCTCAGCGCATTCGCCGAAATTAATGAAGCCCCTGAAAACTGCAACCTCACAAGAAGACCCACTGCCGGAGGAGGAAGAAGAGGGGGCGTTGAATTTGACAAGTGAAAATTCTCGGCACAGTTCTCAGTCGCCTGCCCTGTCACTGAAAGCATCAAAGGCCACAAGCACCCCAACACAAATTGCCAGCAGCAACAACAACAATGGCCAACAACCCATTGCTCCAACAATTCAGGGACCCACCAGCAGCAGTACACCCCTGGCATTGCCTCCCCTGACTCACAGCCCCTTGGCTGTGCTACCACCAGGTTTGGGTTCACCTCAAGCCCAGCTGGCAGCAGCTGCTGGCTTGGGTTTCTCCAATCCCCTATTGGCCCAAGCAGCGGCCATGGGAGGCCCTCTGTCCCCCCAGGACTTTACACAATTCCAACAAGTTTTGCAGCAACAACAACATGCTTTACAACAACAATTTCAACATTATGTGGAGATTTTACGTAATGGTTCCATGCCCACCATGGGTCCGGCAGATGATCCCTCCGTGGCAGTTCAGGTGGCGACGGCGCAATTTCTGCTGCAGAGGCAGGCTTTGACACAGGCGGCCCAACAATTGCAGGCCCTGCAGAAACAACAACAAGACATGCAACAGCAACAGCAGCAGCAACAACACCAAACTTCATCGCAACAATTGTCTATTAAAACCGAGCCAGATGCACACCATCTAAGCTATGAGCAACCTTTGCATTTGAAAAACGCCACACATCATCAACACCATCCTCATCACCACCATCACTCGTCGACTCCACTACAGCGAAGCCCTCTACAAAGTCCGGCCACCTCACCACTGCCATCACTATATACCTCCAGTTCGGCAATGCTACACAACTCCCAGCACACCCCACCACCATCGGGTTCCTCCAGCTCCCTTAAGGTTAGTGGCCTGCTCACACCCAATACACCAAGTGGACCTCAAACACCACAACTACCCAAAAGTATGGCAGCTGCCACACGAGCCCCTGAAGCTTCACCCGAAGAGACAACCGATTTGGAGGAATTGGAACAATTTGCCAAGACATTTAAGCAAAGACGTATCAAATTGGGTTTCACTCAGGGCGATGTGGGTTTGGCCATGGGCAAGTTGTATGGAAATGATTTTTCGCAGACTACTATTTCTCGGTTTGAGGCATTGAATTTGAGTTTTAAGAATATGTGTAAATTGAAGCCACTGCTACAGAAATGGCTAGATGATGCAGACCGGACAATACAGGCAACGGGAGGGTAAGTTGAAAATGAATTTTGAGATATTTATTTTTTTAATTTTTTGTAATAAAATATTGAATTGCTAGTAATTTATGTTAAAACGACATCAGCAAATGTTGAGACACCATTTTTGAAAATGTTGCATCAACATTTTTAAATGTTGCTTGAATATTTTCCCATAAATTTGGTGGTAATATTTTTAATGACTGACAACTGCAATATAGTTTGAAATATTGACCTCAAAATTATTTCTCATTGATTATTATTTTGTTTTTAAAGCTATTAAATATTGTTGAGATACATTTGACTAGGCTGAATCCATATATACATATCTATGTTGACTTAAAATTTGAAAGTTTTGAAATAAACGCTCACCAATGTTAAATAATCATTTCCAATTATTCAAAAAACAATGTTTAATTCTCAAACAAGATTTTTATCTTTGGTTAAATTGAAAAATGTTATTATTCCAGCCCATTTCAATGTTGATTTAATATCAGCCAGTGTTGACGCAACATTTTTTTTATGTTGAGTCAACATTAATCAATGTTGCGTGAATACCTGGCCATATTTTTGATTATTTCGTTCTCAATTTAATCTTTTCGATGAATAATTTTTGGTAAAAAATACAAAAACATTTATGTTGAGATACATGTGTCAATTTTTGTTCAACATTCGTATATGTTGACACAAAAGTGCACAGTTTTGAGTAACCCCTCACCAATGCTTAATCATCATTTCCAATTACTCAAAAAAATTTATTTAAATTTTTAAAAGATTATTATCATTGGTTTAAGGGAACATTTTTATTATTCCAGCCCATTTGAATGTTGTATCAACATAAGCTAATGTTGAGACAACGTTTGTTGATGTTGCGTCAACATTTTCCAATGTTGCGTAAATATTTTCCCATAATTTATGGTAAAGTTTAGTCGTTATTTCCAATTAAAGAAACAATATTTTCAATAAAAAAAAAAAAACATTTTTTTCTGCGGTGTAATCGAAAATTGTATTACTTCAACATTTTTGAAAGATGCATCGACATTTTCATTGTTACAGAATATTTATCCGCCGCTAAGGACAGCTGCAGTTCACATGAGAATAATTCCTTCACAAGTTTTTAATCTCCAATACAAAAAAATAAAATATTCGAAGAGTCCTACTATTGGATAAATTAACATTTTTATTATTTCAACACTTTTCAATGTTGCATGAATATTTGTGATACTTTTGATGACTGATAACATCTATACAGTTGAGAATATTTCCTTCTAATTCTTTTCTTCCTAGTTTTTTTTTTTAAAGAATTCACATTCATCTATGTTGAGATACAAAAAACCCATGTTTATGCAACATTCGTCCACTTTGGCTCAACATTTGAAAAAGGTTGAGTAAATATTTAATAGCTAATCTCCATATCTATTTACCGAAAATAATTTTGAAATTTTTAACAAAAAGATTTTAATAATAGTTTGCATTCATTTTACGTTCAATATAACATTTCAAAATGTCGCTTCAACATCTCAGAATGTTGCGCAACATCTCAGAATGTTGCTAAACATAAAAAAGCTATTTCTTATTCCTATAACTCCATATGGGAAGTGTTGTGCTCTCAAATATTTGATCTTAAAGTTTTCAATACACGCTTCATCGTGCCACTCAACACGTTCGTGGAAACTGGGTGGATCTAGACCAATTTGTAGATTGGTGGGTGGAAATCCAAGGCATAGAATACCTGTACAGAAGTTTTAGTTAAATTCAAAAATTGCTACACTCCAGCGAAGAAGGGTTTCTGAAATTAAGGGAAAAAATTTCGAAGATCTTTAAAAGTCTCAAAATCGACAATAAATTATATGTGACATTATAAGAATTTTGACTAAATGAACTATACTTTCGGGCCGGGAAGACTATACTTATTTGAAAAGATGAACATCTTTACTTGCCATACTGTAAGTTACAGTGAGCTAGATTGAAAAAAGGAAAAAGTTTCAAAGATCTTTAAAAGACAAAATCGAAAATAAATGATTTGTGACATTTTCACAATTTTGACTTTAACAGCTATATTTCCCTGGTCGGAGTTGATATTTTTCGGGAAATCTTTATGAATTTAGGAAGATGGACATCTTTTCTTGGTATGCTGTAAGTTACAGTGAGATGGTTTAAAAATACTTGTAGATGTAGCTCAATGAGGGCAGTTACAAAAATTGAAGCAATTTTGGGTAGTTTTAAGTAACCACCTTTTTGAGTTTATAAATTCTGAAGTATTCAACTTATCTCATTAAAAATACTTTATTCTTCAATAGGAGACATTTATCTTTAATATTATGTGCCATTTTGACAAATTTTCACTAAGAAGTTGTCCAAAATTTGGCAAAAGATAACAATTTATCAGATTAGAGGTGAACGTCTATGATCCCACAAATTTGAACGGCATCGTAGGGCATATTTTCAGTGCTGGTTAATATTTCTGTACTGAGATTTGTTTATTTTAAAAAGAAGAACGTCTCACCTTCACAAAAAAGTAAATTTCTTCAATTTAGCCTCAAAAATACGAAAGTTATGGTTGGTTAAATTTCGCTGCAAAATTATATGCAATTTTCAGCATTTTTGGGTAACCATGTTCTTAAGACAATAACTTCTAAATATATCGATGAATTTCAATAAAAGTCACTTGATTTAGAAATTATTGGCCGTAATCTTAACATATATGTGCAATTTTGCAACTTTTGCTAAAAAATTCTCGGAAATTAAATAAGGTACTATTTTGAAGACCATAGGAGAGATATTTTCAATAAACACAAAATTCAAAGGTATACTTTCTCTAGATATGATTCATATATCTGTACATAAATTCATTTAAAATGGAAAGAAGAATGTCTAAACTGTACGTCGATGAAAGTTTTATTAATGTAGCTCATCAAAATCCAGAGATATTGTTAGGTAAAGATAGATGCGGAAATTTACAAAATGTTTGCTAGTTTTGGGTAAGCATCTTCCAGAGCTCATAACTTCTTAACTATTGGCGGTATATGAATAAAATAAATTTGATTTTGAGATTTGGCTTAAGAAAAAATAATGTTTCTAAAGATCTAAATATTTAGCAACATTTGCCTCAACATTGTTTCAATGACGCAAAATGTTTTTAAATATTGAAAAAAGCTTTATTTATTTAGATTTTTAAAAATCGATATTTTAAATCATATTTTGACAGTCATAGAACACAAATTGGAAACATGTCAGAGATAGAATATTCAGCATCAATATAGCAACATGTTGATTCAAAATTGTCCCATGTTGCAGCAACATGTTTCATTGACAAACAGTGCATTTTCACTATTCAACAATACATTTTCACTTTTTAAACGCGATTTATTCGGATTTGAATCTCAATTCCGCTTGATTCTTTTGAATACAAATTTGTAGGAGATATTGGTATAATATTGGCTCTTTATTTTGCATTTTTTATGTCATAAAACATTATTCCATTAAATTTGCATTTATTTTCTGAAGACCCATAACTAATTTCTAATTTTTCCTTCCTTTCTTTGCAGCATTTTCGACCCCACCGTCCTACAGACCACTGTCACCACACCCGAAATAATGGGTCGTCGCCGTAAGAAACGTACCTCGATTGAGACCTCCATTCGTGGAGCTTTGGAGAAATCCTTTATGCTAAATCAAAAACCAACCAGCGAAGAAATCACCCAACTGGCTGATCGCCTGTGTATGGAAAAAGAAGTGGTACGCGTGTGGTTCTGTAATCGCCGCCAAAAGGAGAAACGCATTAATCCCTCCTTGGATAGTCCTGATAATGGTGATGAGTCACCCTATATGATGATGTAAATGGGGTAAAAGGTGCGGGAGACTGGAATATCAACAATTTATGGAATCGGGCATTGTGGCAATCGAATTTTTTCTCTATACTTAACTTTGTGTGCATGTGTATATCTGTGTAGCTGTAAATAATTTTGGATTTCCTCCCGGAAAACATGGTTTTTGAAAAAGGAAATTACTTTGGAAATGAATTTTAAATGAGGTAAGTTGTAAAAGAATAACGCGTTTATTGAAAATTTTGAATCAAAACTTTTTAAGTTGTAAAATAATATATATATATTTAGAGACAACATAGTTTGATGTTGCAGCAACATTTTCAATGTTGAGTCAACATTTTTTTTCAAAACAAATAGTCTTTTTTCTATTTGTCTGAAAAGTTTTTATAATTCCAAATTAAAGTCTCATCAATATTGAATCAAGATTTGACTTTATTATTGAAAAAATGGGTAACAGACATTTTTCAGTATTCTATCAACATATGCGAAATGTTGAAACAACATTTTCATTGTCGATTAAATTTAATACTAAATTAGCATTTGGAAGACTTTTTTTAATTCTAAATCAAAGTGTCCTCAATCCTTAGTAAAGCTATGCCTTCATTGAGAAGAAAACAGGGGTCAATGTTGCATAAACTTTTTGCGGTGTTGAAGCAACATTTTTTAATGTTGAGTCAACATATCCCTATGCTGAATCAATATGTATGAATGAATATAATATTGGAATAATGTTAATAAAATTAAAAATCAACATTTTTCAATCCCAACATAGGGTGCAGTTTAAGGAAAAAGTTTCGAACATCTTTAAAATTGCAAATCGACAATAAGTCATATGTAAGATTTTCACAATTTTGACTTTAAGAGCTATGTTTTCCGAGTAAGAGTTGATATTTTTCGGGATATCTGTATGAATACGGAAAGATGAAAAATACCTGAGATGTGGTTCTATGAAGGCAGTTACAAAAATATATCAATTTTTTTGGCAATTTTAAGTAAGCACCTTTTTGAGATCACATCTTCTGTGGTATTAAACTTTCCTCATAAAAATCACTTAATTTTTCAATTAGATATGGTTTTCTCTAAAATTAATTGCAATTTTGCCAAATTTTCAATATAAAATTGTCCAAAATTTGGCAAAAGATACCAATTTATCACAGCCTATGTTCACAGAAATCTGAACGCCACTGTAGGGCATATTCCCAGTTCTGGTCAATATTTCTGCACTGAGATTAATTTATTTTTAAAAGGAAAATGTCTCACCTTCACAAAAACGTAAATTTCTTTAATGTAGCCTCATAAATATCAGAGATATAGCTGGTTAAATTTCGGTGCAAAATTATATGCAATTTTCAGCATTTTTGCGTAACCATGTTCTTAAGTCCATAACTTCTGAACTAATCCGTGAAGTGGAATAAAAGTCACTTGATTTAGAAAGTATGGGCCAAAATCTTTATAATTATGAGCAAATTTTTATACCTTTTGCTAAAAAAATCGGAATTTAAATAGGGTAATATTTTCAAGACCCTAGAGGAATAGGGATATATTCAATAAAAAGAAAAATTCAAAGGCATACTTTCACCAGTTATGATTCAAATATCAGCAAAAAAAATTGAATTCTTTGGAATGAAGAATGTCTCAGATTTACGATATAGCAAGTTTCATTGATGTAGCTCGTCAAAAAACCAGAGATATTGTTAGGTAAAGATAGGTGCGGAAATTTGAAAAATTTTTGCAAGTTTTGGGTAAGGATCTTTCACGGCTCATAACATCTAAATTATTGAGGATATTTTAATAAAATAAATTGGATTTTGAGCTTTGGCTTGTGATAAAGGAATGTTTGTAAACACATAAAGATTTAGCAACATTTATGAATGTTGCCTCAACTTTGTTTCAGTAACGCAAAATATGTAAAATATTAAAAAAAAAAGAAAAAAGAATAAAAAATAAAAATAATAATTTAAATTTTTAAAAATCGATATTCTAAATTTACAATCTTAGAACACAAATTTCGAGCTTGTCAAACATAGAATATTCAGCAACAATATAGCAACATGTTGATTCAACATTGACCCATGTTACAGCAACATATTCCATTGGTAGATTGTATTTCTATTATTTTACAACATTTTTCTACTTTTTCACCACAAATTCTTTGGGTTTAAATCTCAATTCCTCTTGATTATTTGAACACACATTTGTATGGCACTCTTTTTTATATTTAATTTTATTTAAATTGGTATAGATTTTCATATTTGTGTTCTATAAAATATTGAAATATTTTTTTTGTATTTTCCTCTAAATGTTCGTTTTAAAAATATTAATCAAGAATTTGTTTTTCTCCCTTCCTCTCATTTCAGAATGACAAAAATGTAAATATCTCTGGAATAATATATAATAGTTCATTACCATTCCTAAAAAGTCCAAAAAAATACGATTTGATACAAAAACGTAATTTTCATAAAACAAAACTAATTTAAGAAATTTGGTATACAAGTAAAAAGCGAGAGGAAAAAAAAAAAAACATTTTAAGTATTAACAAAAAAGAATGTCGAATTATTTATAATGAATATATGTATATGTGTAAGTGAAATCCCCAACAGAGAATGGATGCCTCAGAGAAAAAGGCGCCGATAAAAGACACTTGTTTATGTTCACTTTAGTATATATAAAAAAAAATAAACAGAATATATCACTAGACTTTAGAAACTAAGCTACAAAAGAATTTACAACAACCAGCAACTAAATTAAACAAAGAATTTAATAAAAAAAAAACTTTGAAATAACAAAAATTTAACATTTAAGAAACATTAAGTTTAGGAGAATTTAAATAATTAAAAAAAAAATGAAACACCAAAATGGTATCACTAACTACCACCCTCCCCCAAGACACCAAACAGTTCCTACTAATGTTACCCATAAATTTATAACAAAAAAAAAAAAAAACAAACATTTTTGGATAATATTACTATTGAATTGTTACCAAAAAAATAATCTCTTCTTTGTCTCTAAAAAAATAATAAATATTTCGGATATTTGCCTTTGGGTAACAAAAGTCATCAACAGGAACTCAAAGCAATTATTTGAAATTATTTTTAATTTTTTCATAACTGTCTTTAGTTTTTAAAAAATTAGAATTCTTTATTTCTTCTATTCCTTATTCACATTATAGAAAATTATCATACAAAATATTAGCATGTATTATTAAAAAAGTAAAACAAAAAAATCTTAATATTTATTTAAATAAATATTTACTGTGATAATAATTTGTAATGTTTTAAATGTTTATAGCTTGTAAGTCATGTCAACCCCCTGTATAAATAAATAAAAATTGAAAAAAAATTAAATTGTAGGCATAACCATAAGCCAAACTTTATTACTAATTTTAAATGTAATTTATGTATAGAAGAAAAAAAAAACAAAATTAAAAACAAATAAAATTATTTTAAATTTAATAAGAATAAAACAAAATATCAAAATAAATGAAAAAAAATTGTCATACACAAAATGTGAAATGTTTTTATTTTTAAATTACGGAGAAATGGGATGAACACAGAAGTAATAAAACTTATTATTTCTAGAGGGATGAAGTCATGGTAAGAGACAGAATACACCTAAAACCTGAATTTCTAAACAATATTCAATGGAGAAAAGTCACCAACTAAATGTACATTTTGAAATTGAAACCATATTTTAAAGGATTTAAAAAAATATTGAAATTACGTCCTCTGTGGAACGCAAAAAAATAACTACAGAATAAACTCCGTAGATTATGAAAGTGGAGCTTAAAAGAGAAGACACTTGCATGGGCCTTCTGAAAGTTTACATCGCAAAGTAGCCTACCTAGAGGGATAAAGGTATCTCTCTTCGAATTTGTATACCCTACCACAATGTCGTCAAGGTATTACGTCTTTGTGAATTTGTTTGTAACATAGAGAAGGAAGCGAGTAGACCCATAATCTTAATCTGAATCGTTTTTTGCATATCCGTCCCTTCGCTCGTCTGTGCATGTATTTTTGTAAACAAGGTAAAGAAAATTTGTTCAAAATTTTGTACAAAACATTTGTTTAGTCCAGAATCGAACCCTATTGAAATTAGTGAGAATCGGTTCAAATTTAGATACAGCTCCCATATATATCTTCAACCGATTTCGTTTCGTTCAGATATAACTATAGCTCTCATATGTGTGAGATGAAAAAACTGCAAACAAATTCAGACTGCCGTCATCCGACAGCCATTGAAATTCCAAAATTCCATTGGTCGTTTGAAGGCCATAATTCGTATCAAAAGAGACCAATTCAAACAATTCTAAACTTATTTTAAATTTTTATGCCTATTCCTACATTCTTTGCTTTCATTCAAAAATATTAAAAAACAAGTTAAAAAGCAGTAATTGCGGCCGGGCCGAACTTTGAATACCCGTCACCATTTGGAACGAAATTGGAAATTTTCAATAAAATAAAATTAAAAAAAATTTTTTTCAATAAAAAAAAAACTAAAAAATTATTTTAAAATCTTAATAATACCGAATATAGCCGTTATTTTGGGGTCTATACAAAGACGTGGACCTGCTTAGACAACTTTTGTCATATTCAAAAACGAAAGTTGAAAAAAAAAAAACTGTGAAAAATGTAGCTAAAACTATCCAAATACCGCATATAGGGAGGTACCGATATATGAGGGCTATACGAAAACCTGGACCTGCATCGACAATTTTCTACAACAGGCTGTAGTACCTATTAGGAACTTCAAATGCGAAATTTCAAACAATTCCGGTAAGTATTGCACCGAATATAAGGAGGTACCTATATATGGCGTCTATACAATGATCTGGACCTGCATAGACAATTTTCTCTCATAGACTGTAGTCCCCATTGAGAACTTTAAATATAAAATAATTCCTGTGAATAAAAGATATCAAAATACCGAATATCGGAGGGTACTGTTGTATGGAGCATATATGATATCGTGGGCCGATATAGACAACAATCTTTCAGGGGATATAGTATTCAGAAGGAACTCCTTGTGTAGGTTTTTAGACAGCTTCATTGAAAAATGTGGCTAAAATCATGAAAATACCGAATATCGGAGGGTACTGTTGTATGGAGGCTATACCATATCGTGGACCGATATAGACAATAATCTTTCATGGGATAAAGTATTCAGAAGGAAATCTTTGTGTGTGGAAATCAGACAATTTCATTGAGAAATGTGGCTAATATCATGAAAATACCGAATATCGGGAAGTACAATTTTATGAGAAGTATACAGGGTGAGATGAAAAAACTGCAACCTACTTCAGACTGCTGTCATTTCTAAGCCACTCTTCCGACACTCGTCAAAATTATTCCAGTGACAGCTCATAAAATTGTTTACAAGCGTACAAAAGCATTTTGATTAGAATTTTCCAGAAAAAAAGTTATTCGTGATGGAATTCAAGCGTGATGGTGTGATTTCGTTATATTTGCCTGAAGAACCACAAGTGGCTATCGTTAGAGCACTCCAGCATTTAAATGTGAATAAATCTTTTGTGTCTCGTATCATCGCTCGTAATCGTCATACTGGTAGCGTAGCCCGACGTCAAGTAAGTGGACGGAAGAAAACAGCAACATCAGCAGAAATGGTTCGAAAAGTAAAGAAGCGACTTGATCGAAGCCCGCGTCGCAATGGCAAAAAAATGGCTCGTGAGCTGAACATATTGCAATATTCCATTCGTCAAATATTGAAAAATGAGCTCGGGGTAAAGCCATTGAAATTGCAAAAAGTACGAGAACTTACACCGCAACAGAAATAAAATAGACTCAAAAGAGTTAAAGAGTTGTTTCGCTTGGCGGAAAGTGGTGAACTGCCGAATTTGGTTTTCTTCGATGAGAAAACATTCGTTGTCCAGCAGTTTGTAAATAAAGAAAATGATCGTGCTTACTGGCCAAAGAGGTCAGCTGAAAATGTGCACCTTCGGTTGGCCACCAGAACTCAAGCGCCGGCCATGATGGTGATGGTGTGGGCCGCCATAACAGCCGATGGTCGCTCTTCGCACGTATTAATCGAATAAATGCCGAATATTATCGCGAAAATATTCTGGAGGGTTTATTAAAGCCTTTGGCACGCAAACATTTTGGCCGCAGACCTTGGACATTCCAATAGGACTCAGCATCATCGCACTCAGCACGCGCCACCCAAGGATGGTTACAAAATGAATTTCCTCGCTTCATTTCCAGCGCACTATGGCCATCAATATCTCCGGATACCAATCCGTTGGACGATTGTGTCTGGAGTATTTTCGAAAGCAAGGTTGGCACTAAAAAATACCAAAGTGTCGAACACCGGGAATGGGCCAAAATACCGCATAGCAACATTCGGGCAGCGTGTGACGGTTTAATTGGCCGTTTGAAGGCCATAATTCACTCATCTTCCCGACAGGTCTTAACAAAAATGTATCAAATTCGAAGAGAGTTGGTACTTATTTATGAATCCTATGTGGAACAGGCACCAGAAGGAATGGTCCATTCTCTACCATCTTTATAACAGACCTTGTGTTGATGGAAACATTGAGATGTGGCAAGCCTGAATGGAATCGAAAGTTAACTTCGCGTTTTATGAGATTCAGGGATATTCCAAAATTTTACCCTTTGTCGGGGAAGTACAACAGGGAGTGGACCGATATTGCTTTTCTCCGAACTCGATGTAAGTTTGATAACAATATAACGATATACGAAGTTTGGTATATTCCCTTCGAGAGTTATCGTGCGCACCAGACAGATGGACAGACATGGCTGAACGACTCCAAATGTCCCGAAACTGGTTTGGACCATAGACACCTAGGGTCTAAAACCATTACTTCGATAAGGCACGTTTTGGTCGTATCAAATGATATATACCCTCTGTAGTGATATGGATGAGGGTATAAAAAATATATGCTTCTGCTTTTGGGAAATTGCCCAAGAAAGATGTTGAAGATATATGGACCAAAAAATCCATGACATTCGAGAACTGTAAAAAAGTGTCTACGAAAAACATTATTTGGTAATTGGTGTTTTTGCTGTGTAGAGTTGAATTTCGGTTAATTATTTCATCACAGTTCATTCTATGATACACCATTTATTTGGTAAGATAAAAGTAATATATTTTTCCAGCTTACAATCTCATTACGAAATAATGAGTTTAATAACCACATTTTGACACCAGTAGCTACTTACAACACCGCATCCTAACATCTTATTTTAAAATGGACATGTCATGGAAAGTGGGTACTTACCAAACTGCCACCAAGAACTAGGTTGCTTTTTAAATTTCATTGAAAATTACTCATTATTTTTTAGCTTACTGGTAATGCAGGGAATATGTTTTTGTCATTATATTTACAATGTGGAGGTTGTGTAATTGTGGTAATGGTAAAAGAGGCACATACGATTATCAAATTATTGCTGGGTTACTTGGTCATTTTTATAAAAATAATTCATTGTTTTTTATTACCAGAATATCTGCAACTTTCATTTTATCCTATTGGAAATACAGAGGCTATGTAGTTGTCATTTCTTAAAATGTTGGAAGTGCCACATACACTAGCCATGTAGGATATATTAACTTTGTCATTTCGTTTGTAACTCCTCGAAATACTCATGTCACCCCCAACAAAGTATATATATTCTTGATCAGTTTAAAATTCTAAGACTATTTAGCCATGTCCGTCTGTCTGTTGTAATCACGCTATCTTTCGAGCAAATTGAGATAGAAGGCTAAAATTTTGCACACATGTATATTTTGCCAGTAGGCAGGTTAAGTTCGTAAATGGGTCATGTAGGTCCAAGTTATAATATAGACCCCATATAACGGTACCTCCCGATATTCGGTATTTTGATGATTTTAGCGACATTATTCACCGGAATTGTTTCAAATTTGGTATTTGAAGTTCGTAATGGATACTACAGCCTAAGACAGAAAATTATCTATGCAGGTCCACGTCTTCGTATAGCCCCCATATAACGGTACCTCCCGATATTCGGTATTTTGATGATTTTAGCGACATTATTCACCGGAATTGTTTTAAATTTGGTATTTGAAGTTCGTAATGGATACTACAGCCTAAGACAGAAAATTATCTGTGCAGGTCCACGTCTTCGTATAGCCCCCGCATAACGGTATACCCCGATATTCGGTATTTTGATGATTTTAGCGACATTATTTACCGGAATTGTTTCAAATTACGTATTTAGAGTTCGTTATGGGAACTACAGTCTGCGACAGAAAATTATCTATGCAGGTCCAGGTCTTCGTATAGGCCCCATATATCAGTACCTCCCTATATTCGGTATTTTGACGATTTTAGGTACAATACCCACCGAAATTGTTTGAGATGTCGTATTTGAAGTTCGAAATGGATGCTACAGCCTGTCTGTGGCAGGTCCAGGTCCTCGCACAGCTCTGATATAACGGTACCTCCCTATATACGATATTTTGATGATTTTAGCTACATTATTCACGCGTTTATTTCAGGTTTCGAATTTGAAT